ATGCGCCAACACACCCTTCTCAATCTTTTTTTTAATAACTGATTTTGGAATGAAAATTTCTATATATCCCACAATTATTTTATAAATTTATACTTTCAATTGGGACTAACTCATTAGAATTATGTAGTTATTTAAGAATTTTTAAAAGCATATGTACATACATATATGACTTTTTAAAAATGTGTTTTAGATTTTTTTGTTTGCAATATTGGGGATTGAAGCCAGGCCTTTCACAATGAGCTACATCCCCAGCCCTTTTTTATTTTTGAGACAGGGTCACTAAATTGCCTGGGCTGGAACTTGCGTGCTTCCTGTCTTGGTCTCTGTAGAGTGTGCACCACTATACTTGGCTGTTTTTATTTCTGATATGCCTTATAATTATATTGTGGTTATAGAATATGTTCTTTATATCAATTTCTGAAAAGTCTTCATATTACCATAGACCTTAGTATGTGGCCAGATGCTGAGATTAGTCCAAGTGATCTTGAAAAGAACACCTATTTTGGGATGAGGGCCACAGCTCAGCAACGGACTGCCTAGCATACAGCACCAGAAAAAATTTATACAAACATACATGGTTGTTATAGCTTTTGTTTAGATGTCCCCCCAGAAGCCTCATGTGGTCAGAGGTGGGTTTTAAGAAATGACTGGGTCTAGAGTGTATGATGCTGGAATTGATTCATGCTGCAATGCCCAGATTAAGGGCACTGGATTAAGGGTGTGAGTGCTACCCCTCCTAAGTAGCCTGGATAAAATATAGAGGATAGAAACAGCTGTGTTCCTTCCTTGTTGCTTTGCTGCCTGCAGCCTCATGAACAGTTTCTCTTTTGTGATGCCTGTTTGTTCTGCCACCTTACCCTGGAGCCACCAAATTATGGACTGAAAAATCTCTATGAACTGTGAGCCAATCTAAACCTTTCCTCTTTTAACTTTGGGTGTCAAGTATTTTATCTTAGCAATGAGAAAAGTAACTAAGACAATGGTGGTCTACATTCCCAGCCCACTTTATTGATTTTCAAATTCTGAGACAGTCTTAAGTTGACCAGGCTGGCCTTAAACTTGCGATCCTGCCTCATCCTACCAGTAGCTGTGATTCCAGGCATGCACACTACACCTAGCACTCTCTCTTTTTACAAGTAGTTATCATGGGGTGTTTATTAAAAAGTTCAGTGTAATCCATTCACTTTTATTTTTATTACTGGTATCAGTGTCATGCACTGATGACAACTCAGAACAATCTGAAGATCAAAGAAAAAAAAGACAGGGGTGGGGATGTAGCTCAGTGGCCTAAGTGCCCGCCTGGCAAGCGCAAGGTCCTGAGTTTGATTCCCAGCAACAAAAAAGAAAAAAAAAGACAACAAAATACATACGAGACAAATAGAAAACAAGATGACAGACTCAAACTTCACCACGCCAATAAGCACATTAAATGTCAAATGAAAAATCAGACTGTTAGACTGGATTAAAAAAAAGAAACCCCAGACCCAAGTATATGCTGCCAAAAAACATGGGTTTTAAATATTTACACAGAATAAAAATAAAAGGTGCTGGACATGGTGGTGCACACCTGTAATCCCAGCAGTTGGGAGGCTGAGGCAAGATCACTATACAGTTCAAAGCCAGCCTGGGTTACTGCATAGTGAGTTCAAAGATAGCCTGAATTACATAGTGAGACTGTCTCAAAAAAGAAAAAGAATAAAATACAAAGCATTGTAATGCTAGCTGAAAGAAAGCTGAAATGCTTTTAGACAATGTAGTAGTTTGGGGTTTTGCAAGGGCAACAATATAATACAGGACACATATTTTTTAAGATTATTCACAATAGTCACCCAAAGAATCATATACAAAGAGAGTATAGGAAATCTGTCCATACACTAAAGATCAAAGAATCCAGCTGAGGGCCTGGATCCCATAGTAATATCCTGCATGAGTCCAGCTGAAGACCTAGAGCCCACAACAATGCCCCCTAAAAGTCCAACAGGAGGCCAACAGCCATGACAATGTCTTATGCAGGCCTGTTTCACGGATCTGCACTGGGAAGGCCCAAAGGTCAATGGTGGAAGCTAGAAAGTCTGTGCCAGTGGGATGAAGGATCTGTGCTAGCAGGCTGAGGGATCTGAACTGGAGCCAGGAAATCATGCTCAAAATAAGAACCAGAGAAAGAAGATCTTGAATTTAAATCTAGCCTGAGTCACATGGCAAGATCTTGTTTTATTTTTTTTGTTGTTGTTTATTTGTTTGTTTTCCGGTACTGGGAATCCAACTCACGACCTTGCGCTTGCCAGGCAGGTGCTATGCCACTGAGCTAAATCCCCAGCCCCAAGACCTTGTTTTAAAGAACAAAACAGCTGAGCATGGTGGTGCACACCTGTAACCCTAACACTTCAAAGACTAAAGCAGGAAAACTGCCATCCCAGGTTATGTGGTGAGTTTGAAGCCAGCCTGAACTATATACTGAGACCAAGTCTCAAAAACTCAAATCAATGAGTCTAAACAAATATATAAGTAAATAAACAAACACAAATCAGTGTGGTACTGGCATAAAACAAAATCAGTGGAACAGAATGGAGTCCATGTATGTTTAGACAATACATTTTTAAAAAAATACGTAAGACCAATTTAATGGAAAAAGGATAGTCCTTTCAATGAATGCTGCTAGAATGACTAAATAGCCATATTAACAAAACATTTTTAAAAACCCATGTTAAACTTGTACTTCCTCACCAAAATTACTCAAAATGCACCATAGATCTTAATATAAAACTGAAAATTTCTGAAAGAAAACACTGGAGAAAATCTTTGTGATTTTAGGAGTGGATTAGAATTTCTTAATATGGCCACGTGTGGTGACATACACCTATAATCCCAGCTCTTGGGAGGCTGAAGCAGGAAGATTACTGCTAGTTTGAGTTGAGTCCAGCCTGGGCTACAAAAGCAAGTTCAAGGCCAGCCTACACTATACAGCAAAATCTTATCTCAAAAAAAGGGAAGATTTTGTAATATGACACCACAAGAACAAATTGATAAATTTTACTTTATCAAAATTTGAAACCTCTATTCTTCCCAAGACATTTTTAAGGGGAAAAAATACATACACATACTTAAAGATAGTTAAAATATTTGCAAAGATTTACATGATAAAGGACTTATATCTAGTTCTTTATATAAAGAATTCTAAGTTGGGGATGATGGTACATACCTGGAATCTCAACACTCCAGCAGGTTGAGACATGAGCAAGTTCAAGCCCAGCCTGGGCAACTAAGTGACTTAGTGAAACCGGCAAAATTTAAAAAAAAATTTAAATGCCCGAAGATGTAGTGAAACTCATGGCTTCATTCCCCAGTACTACACATTCACACAAAGCAAGAGTAGTGAAGAGAAAATGAGAATACTTGATAAAAGTATTTTCTGACATGCAACAAAAACTCATCACCTTTCCCAGAAAACCACTAAATGGATGTGTTACCCCCAAGTAAACTGACAGTAAAAGCCACGTGACTAAGGAACCCATGGAATTTAATCCAAGAAGTAAGTGAAGGTAATCCTCAGGATCACTAAGATATCAAACAATCTCAGGAAATAGCCGTGTATCAGGCATAGAGAAAAATTCAAGAATTCCAAAAAACATAGCCAGGTATGGTGGCACTTGCAGATGAATTACAAGTTCAAAGCCAGCCAGGAAATTTAGGAAGAACTGCTCAAAAATAAAAAAATAAAGGACTGGGGACATTCCTCAGTTAACAGAGCACCTGTGGGTTCAATCCCAAGGGACATTAAAAAAAAATTCCACAAACTCATAACAAGTGATAACATCAAACATTTGAGGCATTATACATTTTTGTTGTTTTTAAATTAAGTTTATTGGTATAATTTAGATATAATAATGATCACAATCATCATAGGGAATTTGTACCTGTACATGATATATTTTGATTCCTCTTTTTTTCCATTTCCCTCTCCTCCTTTCAACCCCTCTTCCGCTCATTTACAAAGCTTTGTTTCTATTTTATCCTTTTTCCTCTTTTTTCCCATTTTCCTTCCTCCCTTCCCCTTTCTTTTTCAACAGTTTCTTCCTAATCCACAATTTCTATTATATATTTTGGTTTTTATTTATACTTTCAGCTTCTCACACGAGACAATGTGATATTTACATGTGTGTTCTATTTATTTCACTTCAGAGTATGGTCTCAAGATTCATCCATTTGGCTATAATGACACATACATTTTATTCTTTTACTGTATGATTTTAACATAAGAATCCTTCTACTTAAGTAACTGGCAATGACATTCTATCTCAAAGCCACTACTGAAGTCACAATATGAGGAAATTTTAAATTTTTATGAATTTACAGATTTCTATGGGTAATTTCCAGTAAAAAATAGTTGTATTTGCACACATCATAAATCTTTTTTTCTGCCAGGCATGGTGGCACATGCCAGATATCCCACAGTGAGTGAAACTGTCTCAAAAAAAAAAAGGAAAAAAAAAAAAATCTCGCTATGTAGCTATGTAGTGCAGGCTGGCTTTGAACTCACAGTGATCCTTCTACCTCAGTCTCTGGAGTGCTGGGATTACAGATGCATACCACAACCAGCTCATATATCTTAATTTAGTTCCCCAAATATGATAAAGACAAAATAATAAGCTAATTTCACTTTCATAAAATTCTCCATTATAGCACATAAATATTTTGATCTTGTGTACATAATACAATTTCTGCACCCAATCCCAAAAAACACATTTAATAAATATGGGCAAAAAAGGCACCAGGATTTATTTTATTACATTTAACATTTCAAAGCCAGGCGTGGCAGCCCACGCCTGTAATCCTAGCATGTGGGAGGCGGAGGCAGGAGGATACTTCACAGTTAGAGACCAGCTGTTGAGAGTTAAGAGACCACCCAGGGCTACAAAGTGAGCTCAAGGCCAGCCTGAACTGCATAGTGAGACCCTGTCTCAAAAAGACAAAAACAAACAAACAAACAAAAAATTCATCACCTGGTGCTCTACCTCCTGAAGTAAGGATTCCAACAGCTCAGTTTCTTGGGTTAGAGATGTCTTCTGACCTGTTTAAATACATTAATCATCACACTCAGGTTCACTACTAGTTTCAAAATTGAAATTAACTTCCAACAACCGTATTCAAGAAAAACGAATCCATTTCAAGTAAACAAAAACTGATTAGAGCAACGCTAAAGATTTTAAAGCTTTAAGAGATTAAATCTAATTGTAGTTTAGAAAACAGATTGTCAGAACCAGCCATACCTATTTTTAGAAAAAATTCAATTTAAAGTCTGTTAAATTCATCTAAGAAATGCAAAATTACAGCCTTTGATTTGATCCCCAGCATTGCAAAGGAGGAAAAAAAAAAGTTACAATGACAATACACATTAATTAAAAATTTTATTTTTCTAGATTTCTATGCTCCTTTTGGAAGAAGTACTGGACATGCATTTTAAAAGTGGGATGCAGTAGGTAGGGCAGATATTTACGTCAAAGGTCAGCAAAAAAATGCCCTATGAGCATATAAAGACTTGTTTTGAAAAGGCCCAGAGAACTAGTCTCAAGAAGCTGGACACAGAAAAAGAATTATTACAGAAATTTATTACTGTATAAAAGAAACTTTTGTGTGTATATCCGTGTGTGTGTGTGTGTGTGTGTGTGTGTGTGTGTGTATTTATTAATGGTACAGGGGAGTGAACATAGGCCCTTCACAATGAACTAAATCTCTGCCCTCTTATTTGAAACATGGTCTCTTAATATGACAAGTTGCCAAGGCTGGGCTGAAATTTGTGATCTCTCTGCTTTAGCCTCCCAGAGTGCTGGGGGTATGTAAGAAGACCTGTGATTTTTCTTTTTTTTTGGGCAGTGCAGGGAATTGAACCTAGGGCCTCTTGCTAGGATTCTAGGCAAGAGCTACAACCCCAGCTACATGCTTTGAAACAAAAACACAAGCATTCTTACTAAATCAGACCATTTTCCTTATGAAGCACAAAGTCTAAAGGGACAGAAGTATATCCCATGAGTTCAGCAGAAGTCTTATCACTATGAAGCAGTATTATTTGATAAAGACCAACAATCAGTATATTAACCTTTTATTTTATTTAGTTTTTAGAAACCAAAATCAGATGATCACAGTTGTAAAGATACAAATCAAGGGGCTGGGAATTTAGCTCAGCAGCAAAAGCGCCTGCCTGGCAAGC